CCCAATAATATTAACCCCCCCACCCCTGGCTGGTGTCCTCGTTTTTGAAACTGGAAATATGGTAACCCTACTCACCTTATGAAGTGAGCCCTAAATCAAACAATGCAAGAAAGAATCCAAAAAAGCAGGCTAAATTTCCTCAGAAGACTGCTAGAAAGTGAATGCAAGCAGGTGCATACACGCACACACACAACTTTCTTATCATTCTCCTTTCCTTTCTTTACTGATGTTCTTAAAGGGCGAGGTTAAAAGAATTTTCAACATAATATTGAAGAGGACGAGTTTCAGGAAAAAGGTCCACATGTTCATACCAGCTACAGTGAAAACTTCCATGTTCCCAAGAATTTTACCTCAAGAAGGACCATTTCATCATTCCTATTAGCACTGTAAAGTGGGCCACATAATTGCCTAGGAGAGACAAATAGATATTGCACAAAGAAGAGGCTATTTTAAGTAGCTTGGTCTTGGTGCCTTGAAGAGCCAGAGATGTTTTGAAAAGCAAATTAAGTTTTGGGGCCGCAAGTCCCAGTTGCCACTCTTACAAAGGAGGTGGCTGCTGCACATGCGAGTCCAGAGTTAGTTTGTTTAAGAACACTGCACTCCTAGTTTTAAGAGTCTTTGTGGTAATGCAGCCATGAAGGCCTGGATAACTGAAGACATGACATCAATAGATACTCTAAAGGGTCCAGAACATCAATGCAGAAGGAGCCACAACTACTTGGATGTACAGAAACAGTGTGGAATCAAGTATAAACTCATGCCCCCAAGTCTGACAACTGATTTGGATATTTAACAGTAGACTCCCTTCACAGTACAGACAGATGGGTAGCAAGTGGTGGTTCAAAAAAAAAAAAAAAATGTCTTTTCCCTCCAGCATTTAGTTTCAGCTAGTATCCTTTCATTCATGTATTAAGCTGAATCATTTACCAAATGACCAAACAGCCTGGTAGCAAAAGGGACAGTACCCCCTTCACTTTTCTTTGAAGATGAGGAGAAAAAAGGACTGCAGTCATTTTCTGTTAAATGGTGCAATAAGAACTTTTATTTAAAAAATAAAAATAAAAAGCTGCTAAAAAGATAATCTGTGAAGACTCTGCTTTCTTAAAATAAGAATTCAGGGTATAAAATCTGGTCTTTCAAACCTGAGCATGTCAAGGTGTTGCCTCATGCGAGGTCTACATAAAAAAAAATAAAATAAAATAAAAAAAATGCAAAAAACATATTTCAAGTATCTAGCTGGCAGCAACTTGCCAGAGAGAGGAAAATATTTGGACAGCTTTTTAGCCCATAAACTCTTCACCTGTTAATTACTTGTCACTCTTCTGACCTCATAAAAACAGCCAGCCAACTCAATCTCCATGTCTTGCAGAAGATAAGAAGTAGTGGTATAACTAGGGTGGGCTATCAGGGCAACTACTCCGGGCTCCAACTGGCAGGGCAGCGAAAGAAAGCAGCTGCTGTTGGTAGCCATGCAAATTGTGACTGCATGGAAACTTGAAGTTGCCCCTGCCCCTGTGCCCTTGGCACCCAGTTGCATCCCTACATTACTGATAGGAGTCAACAAACCAAGGACATACTGAACTGGGAACCAGTAACTAAATCCATGACTGGTTTCTTAGCAACTGTTCAACATGGCCCATCTGTTTATCAATATTTCCAATGAAACTGTCTCAGGGTTTAAATTGCCACCAGCTAAACTTATGGGTGGAAAAATGAGTGCCAAAATTAAATTAGCAATTGACTAATGTTTGAAGGCCACTTGGAAACTGCTGACCGAGTGCCTTTTTGAGCTTTAACTCTTTAGCACCTGGAGCTGAAAACTTGATGATGCAGATTAACAGACTCCTTTGCTTTAACATCAGACTTGCCATTTAATGACTGCAACAACTTGAAGGAATTTAGAGTCACAGTTGGGACAAACCACAGCCTGGAATTTAGGTTTTTGATTTTACAAAAACAGCACACTAATAGGAAAAAAATATCTCAAAGATATAAGCATTATGCCCACATAGGGAAAG